TTTTTTTTTTTTTTTTTTTTTTTTTTTTTTTTTTTTTTTTTTTTTTTTAAGTACAATGATTGGGCGTATTGCTTTTGCAGTTTTCGTAAACGAACAAAAATTATCCAATGGCTGTTTGGAAAGGTGGAGTTGATTAGGTGATAATGGAGATGCACAGGGAAAAGGAGGAAGCCAGTAAAAGGTAAAATCGCTTACACCTATGGATATATATTAGCAATTCTTTTTGTCTTCATTTAGATTTTTTTCTCTCTTAATTCTTCCGTTTTCTTCTATCCTGATCCAGTGGCCTACTGATCTCCATTTCTTGTTTGCACTGAAATCATACTGCCCTAGCTCACTGATTTCTTCAATTCTGACATTCTGAATCTATGGAGGAATCATTTGTGGTGGATGTTCTAAACGACGAACATAAGGTACACTATTTTTGGGACGAAATTTTGTCTAAGATTCCCATTAATTTTAACTTCTTCTTTCCCCCTTTACTACTTTTTATTTATTTATTGTTGTTTGTTTCTGGATTTGGAGATTCATTTCCGTTTATAATTGAGGAATCATTGAATTGTTTTTGCTGTTTTGGGGTTACCGTGCCGTTACTTGCTTGAATTTATGGTTAGATTTGGTTATGGCTTCGTGATGGCAGGTGGAAGAGAATGCTTCGTCGAAACCATTTCTTGAGGTTTCGGTTTCTTTTGGTAGGTTTGAGAATGATATACTGTCTTGGGAGAAATGGTCGACTTTCTCTCCCAATAAATACTTGGAAGAAGTTGAGAAGTATGCAACGCCCGGATTTGTTGCTCAGAAGAGGGCTTACTTTGAAGCCCATTACAAGAAGATAGCTGATAGAAAGAAGTTATTGGAGCAAGAGAGGGAAATGGAAGGCAATACAACAATGTCAAATGAACTGGACGATGGAGGAGATGTAATGGACCTGACTGAAAGGGTTGATTCTGAATCTGAGAAGTCGAACCCCCAAGTTTCTGCTGAAGAAGTCGAGCAAGATACGACATTGATTGGTGAGGTCAGTAGTGTTTGTGAAGAAGTGGTGAAGGATGATGTTGGAAGTATTGCAGAATGTGAAAGCTCATCAGCTGTTGAAAAGGAAGAACCGGATAGCAAATCAGATTGTGTTGATTCTCAGATTAGCAAACAAGAAGAAGTTGTCATTAAAGAAGTAGAAATGCCTCCAAATGAACCCCAAACCGTCAAGCAACCTCCACAAAAGTTGGTCAATAAAATATCGACAGTGTCTAAAGTCAAACGACAGGTTCTAAAACCAAATCGACCAATCGAATCTAAGAAGGTGAACCTATTGTGTACTTTTGAATTATTTGGAGTTACTAGGTCTGGATTCACTGACTTCAATTTTCTCCATTTGTTTGTGCAGACCACTCCAGTAGTCAAGGAACGAAACATTGCAAGTGCCAAGAAGAAACCAGTAACATCCACGGCCAAGACACCCAAGATTTCCACCCCCAAACCCGCCAAGACAACACCAGGACCCAGCACACCTGCAGCACGGTCTTCTGTGCCACGGTCCTCTATAAACAAGGGAACTAGTTCATCTTTATTAAGAAGCCGAAATCCATCTTCTGTTGAAAGCAAGAAAGTAGCTCCCAAGTCTTTGCATATGTCCCTTAGTCTGGGAACTCCCAACTCTGATCCATCTTCTGTCACCGGGATTCGAAGATCTTTCATCATGGAGAAAATGGGGGACAAGGACATTGTAAAACGGGCATTTAAGACATTTCAAAACAGTTTCAACCAAATGAAATCGTCTCCTCAAGAGGAGAGGTCGTCTGCTCCTAAGATGGTTAGATCTTCTTGCTATTCCAGATGCAAATAACTCCATAACCACCTATATAATTTGTATTGATTGAGCACTTGATTGATGTATTTATTATCAAGTTTTTCATTGCTTGAAATTCTTCTTACTTCTCAATGCTATGGACAGCTTCCGACGAAAAAGAGAGAAACAACAAGAATTCCCACTTCCGTGGCTGCTAAAAAGGAGAATGGAGGGTATTCTTCAATTTTTTTTTTTTTTTTTTTTTTCATTCAGGAATTCCAACTCATTATTAGGTTGCTTTTCGCCAATTATTTAACCTTTTGCTTAATAGCTGTGCGAGCTAGTCCTAATTTATGATTATCTTCCCAAAACCATTAGTTAATACCTTATTTAGGCATGGGACATTTCATTTATCCTTTTTAACAAACACATATTCAGCTAGTTTGCATTAAACTGACGATACTTTCATGTCATGTGATAGGATGCACAAAGCAAGTGGTCCAATAAGAGGTACAGATAGCAGAACTACCAGGGTTGCTTCATCTCAGAAGTTGGAAGGAAAATCTACTGCAAAAGTGGCTGGGAGAACAAGCCTCCAATCAAGATCTAAGGTTGCCCCATCTCAGAAAGTGGAGGAGAAATTTAATGCCAGAGAGGGAGTGAGAACAAATCTTCTATCAAAATCAAAGGTTTGATGAAGTATTATTTTACTTTTATCTCTTTAATTCTTCTTATTGTTGTTTCTCTATCTGCTCCTGCAATGAATATACGCTCAAAACTGGTTGATAAACACTAGGTTTTCCTAGTTTTCCATGTCTGTATCAATTCTTGATATCTTGTGTCCATTCATCCGTGTCGAAAAATTGGATTTTTCTATGCCTTCTTGAAGCTAAAATGAAGTAGCAGAATTACTTCCTCTCTGTTTTCTTTTTTCTTTAACGTTTTAGATGTTAGTAGGTAACATACATTCTATGTAATTGTACAGGATGCTTCAAAGAATGGGCTTCGCTCTTGAGTTTTGATGAGTAGAAACAAATCATCAGCTACCCGGAAATGCATCAACCATGTTCTTTCAGGTTCGACGTTGGTGAAAATTACTACTACTCCCTGAAGAGCCCCATATCATGAATTCATTGTTTCCTCTGAAAGTCTTTGTCCATCCAGAGTCTGTAGATTGGAGTGGAATAGGATCTATAATGAGTCAGATGGTGTCATTCTATGAGTTTCATTAGTAATATACAGAAAGCTCACGGTGTCCTGAAACAGCCCCCATATATAGATAATTAGAAAATGGGCATCTGTATGTATGACGTTCAATTGTCTTAGAATTGCCTCTTTACTTTTTCCAGATGGCTGCAAGTGCCATACATAATGTATACTTCGTAGTCCCCAGTTGCTACATGCTGTTTGGTGATCCTAGAATCTTTGACTAGATGGAGAACTTCGGATTAGCCATGATATTATCCTTATTTTTGGATTAATAATATACTCTCGTTGTAAAATCAAAGCTTCTGTAATTTACAAGGTCTATAGTTACATCTTTGTTCCTGATTCCGAATCTTGTGTACATTATTATTTAACAAGAAAATAGAAGATAGAATAGATTTATGGAAAATATGTGCTCAGAATTCCTCATCTGAATCACTAGAACTGCCTTTGGACTTGTCCGACATAAAATTTTCCGGCAAGCTAGGGAAGACAGTCTTTGATCTCACCTGTGACGAACCCACATCGACGGCAGACGATCTCTGCTGGAGTTCTCGGGCAATTTCAATACATACCCGATCTACCATTTCTAGGAAATCTTTCACTATGATGAATAATTGAAGCCTATTTGCTTCATTATCTTTTGAACTTTGAGCCTGATAATACTCTGTTGTCTTCATCACTAGCTCCATCACTCTCGTCTGTTCTTCTCTCGCCACCTTCAGCTCATCCTCTGCTGCCTCAAGAAACCCTCTCATTTCCTTTGTAAACCCACCTCCATTGTTCCCAATTTGAATCAAAAGCTGCCGGATTTCTAGAGTTGGGCTAGTCAGAGATGACGCAGCCTTGGCAACACTCTCGTAGTCGATTGCCGCCGCTTTCCTTACATTAGAGAGCTCAGCGCTTAGACCTCCCACCACTGGCAGTCCCAACATCATATATTCCTTTACTGCGTCCTCTTTCGAAGTCGATTTTTCGCGGCTGCTAAAGCTGCTCTCACTGCTATTGCTGCTGTTGTTACGGCTCATGCTCTTGTTCCTGTTTAAAACACACTTTTTCCCTTCTGTTCTGATGACTTCTTTCACCACAAAGTGAAGCAAAGTGGTTTTCCCATCAGTGCTTTGAACATCAGAGAGCTTGCGGAGAGCTGTAAGGTTGAAAGCTCTGGCATTTCCTCTTGCAGTTCCTGCATTCAGCCGATTCCCAGCTTTGAGAATTGCTTCAAGCAATTTTAAAAACAACCCTCGAGATCTAAGCTCCTTGCAGGCAGATTCCAGAGTTCGTAGAGATTTCTTGAGATGGATAATCTCGGAGCTGAAATTCAATCGGAAAAGCATGGCGTTGAAACGCGTAAAGGCTGTTGGAACCGATGTGAGAAGATGGTAAAGGAAAGATTCAGCATCAGCAAGCTTCTGGGGGTCTTCTTCATACTCAAGAATTTGGGAAATTTCTTTTTGGGTCAGAGCAATTCTTGTGAGTTTTTCAAGATTATCTGTTTCGAGGCCTTGACCTTCGTTGAGCGCATCGAGGATTTCGTTGCGAGGAATGGTCAAGGACTTGATTATAATGGCTATGTTCTGAGATTTCTTCTGTTCAAGAATGAAAGTTTGCGACGGCCCTGAGTTCCGGCCAAAGGCGTTTGCTGAAGAACTAGCATCGTTCCGGGGGGATTTCCGGTCGGTTGCGACATATCCAAACAGAGCTTCCATAAGATCCCCATCAAATCTGTACTCAAAAGAAAAGAAAAATGATCGGTGCTCGAAAGAATTTATTCGAGAAACAAGAAATGGTGTTCGCAGAGATGATTACTTGAAAGAACCGCCGTTCATTTTATCCCAAACCATAGAATGATCGGTATTTGCGGTGTTCACTTTATCCCAATGCAGGGGTATGAATTTAACCTGACCATTCTCGACTGATGAAGCCTCGCCAGAGGAATTACCCCCTTTTGAAGCGCCGGCATTGGGCGGCTGCGGAGGTGGTGGTGCTGCATTGGTCTGGACTTGAATAGGAGGCAGTGGGGGCAGTCTTGAATTGGTCTTGACTGGGATGGGAGGTGGTGGCGGTGGTGGTCTTGTATTGGTCTTGGCTGGAACTGGCGGCGGCGATGTTGGAACAGAGCTTTTGTCGTAAGGAACGGCCCTGAGAGATTGTGAATGCTCTATTGATGAATGAATTGAACTACTTGATGGTTTTCCAACTGCCTGAACAGAATTCCCAGTAAACGGCGGAGGGTGGTTAATCTGAGGCGGCGAAGGAGATGTAATCCAACTGGGTTCTTCATCCTCCGGCGAAGCGTTTCCTCGAAGCAGAGGAACTTCTTGAACAGGCTTCGTCTTTTTGCTTCGATTTTTCATAACATTTTCTTGTCTATCACTCCAATCAAAGCTATTACTGGAATTCCTTCTTTCAAGTCTCTTCCAATAAATCACATCCAATCCATTTTCATCCACAATATACCCTTTAAGATTCCCATCAGGACACGAAGATTCACTCTGAGCAACCGCCGGCTGCAAGATCGGTCCAGGAACCGGACCCGAATTTGCCACCTCTACATTTCGTTTTCTTCTGATCAGATATCTCTGGATCAAGAAGAAGAACAACGTGGAAATCAGAGCCGTACTCACTGCAGTGACAGCCACAGCCGTCGTTATGGTCCTCGTTAACGTGGACGACGGCAGCCAATGCTTAAGTGAGGACGATGGCGTCGGTTGCACAAGAGAGGACAATGGCGACGGTGGTTGAGGAATAAATGGGGAAGGGTAGAAAGTTTGGATATTTTGAGGGGGAGTGAGTTGGCAATAACAAACAGAAGAAACAGAGAGGAAGAAGAGGAAGAGATGAAGCTGCCATAGCTGAAGCAGAAGCAGCAAAGGCATGGCGGAGAGAGTGGAAGAGAGAGAGATCAAATCCGGCGGAATATGGAAGAAGAAGAAGGAAGCTCTGAAAATGAAGGTAAAAAGATGTGAAGAACATTGTCGTGTGTTTTTTGGTATTTTGGTGGCTGACAGTTTCAAAGAGCAGTTAGTTGTTGTTGTTTCTCTTCAATGTAAACAAACCCTTTTTTTTGTTTAAATATAATTTGAAGCAATTAAGAAAGCTAAATTGATATCATAATGCATTAATGATTGAATTGATAATGAAGTATGAATGATCCTCCTTTCAAAACGGCTTCAAATTCACTCGATTTAATACAAGTAGTTGCAAGTGAATGGCTACGTAATCTATAAATTTAATTTTAGGTATTTTCAGTCTTTTTGTAAATATCATATGCTTTAAAAAAAAATTACGTAAGATTGAATCATGAAAGTATATATTATTGGTATATATATAGTAAATTTTAATTTTTTTTAAGTATGTCTTAACTTTCATATATTCGTGATAATTCGTTCGAATATAATTTTAATACACGGCGTTTCTAATTATATTCTTTTTTTTTTTTTTTAGAATATTACATGAATACAAAGTTGGCGGAAGAAATATAAAATGGGGGAAGAGAAGTAGCTCACCCTCTTTCATTGCTTTATTTGGTAATTTTCCATTATTTTTTTAATTATTATCTTCAAGAATGAGTTGTAAATATATGTTTTTTTTTTTTGGCCTTTAATATCGTTTATTCGCTAAAATTAAGAGGAGGAAATTGCATACCCAATATTTGGAAAGAAAAATAAGAGGATGAAAAAGTAATGAAAAGGGGTAATTGGTTTCCTTCTTTGCCACGTTCATGCTCCTTTAATGTGTGTTGCCCATGATCGTATGTTCATGCCGCATCAAATCCTTTATTTGATTTCATGTTATATTGTCTTACTATTGTATTTTTTGCTGTATGATTCTTCAGCAAAATCATGTCTATATTTGTCAGACCTAAATCGTCTTCAAATGTAAGATGCAACTAGTTGTCAACTTCTCCTACCCAGATTTTGTATGACTGCTAAGCAAAATCACGTCTAGGCCTACTGGACCTAAATCAACTCAAAATATACTATGGAGAGATACAATTAATCGCCAATTCTTCCTACCTAGAGTTATATGTTATTTAAGTCGTTGTGTCATCTTTCTCACTTATTGCATGTAATATTGTTTTTAAAACCTTCTTTCAACCTTGCTTTCAAACTCTTTTTCAAAAGTCTGTTTGCCTTCATTTCTAAAACCTTCCTCTCAAAATGGGGTCTTGAGTATATGTTACACGAATCCAAATTGACTTGACTCGTGAATGCTACACCATTTGCATAGTCCTACCCAATTCCTCATCACAATCGGGCCTCACCCAAGGCCGAAGGATGAGTCACTTAGCAGCCCCATTGGGCCATCCCATCCACCTACATGAACACCCTTTTGAGGTTTAAGACCAACCATTATTGTGGTGACTTATAAGCCCCCCCATGGCCCATACCCACCCAAATCTCAAATGAAATCAAATGAAATCAAATGAAATCAAATGAAATCAAATGAAATCAAATCAGATGAAATCAAAGGCTACATTTTTCAAAAGTTAGGAGGGATTGATTTTCCATGTAGTTTCATAGTTCAATTTGACGGTAAACCATAGGAGGCCATGAACGAATGAACTGCTAAAACAATAATAGAATGAAGATGGAATTGAAGAAACAGAGAGAGTGATTGATATTGAAAAGAGGCAAACGTCAATAAAAGCAACCAAAAAAGGGCCCCATCACTGGGAAATGGGCACAACCCTGTGTTGCCTTTGTTACAGCCTTTTCCACAAACAGGACATATGCAAATGGCAACACACCTTCCAATAACCCATTTAATCAAAATGGGTGAATTCATCATATAAACTTACCAACAAACATTCCAACCCACCCATTTCATCTCTGCTTCATATCTATACTCTCTTTACCAGACAACATCATCTTTCATGTTCATTGCTCTCAACTGCTTCCACCTCCACCAACATCTCAATTTCATCTCCAAATAATTCAACCCTCCCCACCTCAATTAACTTATCGCATAGTACAATGAACGTGTCACGTTACCATAACTGTAACCTCTCATATCCAGAATTTGCTATCATAATTCAACACATGTAATGCCCCATGCTTAGGATTTAAAATCCGGATATGGCACCTAATCACCCTGACATTCCCCTGCATCTTCTGCGACATGATCATGTTACCTACTATTCGCTTCTTAAGAGTAAAGACTATCCATACAGACCAATATGAGTTCTTCTACCATGTTTTGTCCTCACCCACATGCATCCTAAGAATATTCCTACGAGATCACCTAACATAGAATTACTCCAAGTAAACCACGCTTAACTATGAAGTTCGTATGATTAAGTCACCAAAAAGGAATGTGTGTCTTGTGAGTATAGGTGGTAATTTTCTTGTAAAATTACCTCTCTGGGCTTGCCCTCAAGGCTTTAAAATGCGTCTGGGGGAAGTTTCCACACCCTTATAATTAGTGGTTTGTTCTCATCTCCAACCAATGTGGAACATCACAATTCATCCCCCTTCGAGGCCCAGCGTCCTCGTTAGCACTCTTTTCTTCTTCTAATCAACGTGCGACCGCCCTCAAATCCACCCCCCTTTGGGGCGGGGCCCAGCGTTCTTACTGGCACACCGCCTCATGTCTAACCCCCTTCGGAGAAGAGCGAGAAGGCAGACACATTGTCTGGTATCTGGCTCTGATACCATTTTTGTAACGACCCAGATCCTCAAATCCATAACCCCCTTCGGAGAAGAGCGAGAAGGCAGACACATCGTCCGGTATCTGGCTCTGATACCATTTTTGTAACGACCCAGATCCTCAAATCCACCCCCCTTTGGGGCTCAGCGTCCTTACTGGCACACCGCCTCATGTCTACCCCCTTCGAAGAACAGTGAGAAGGCAGGCACATCGTCTGGTATCTGGCTCTGATACTATTTGTAACGACCCAGATCCACCGCTAGCAGATATTGTCCTCTTTGGACTTTCCCTTTCGGGTTTGCTCTCAGGGCTTTAAAACGCGTATGCTGGAGAAAAGTTTCCACACCCTTATGAATGATGGTTTGTTCTCCTCCCCAATCAATGTGGGACATCACAATCCTTTAAACCTTTCTCAGACATTCTATCTTCAGGATCACTCTCATTTGAATATAGTTTCGGTTCATTCATGTACCCTTTTTGTGACACGTAATATCAAAATTGCTTTAAGAATAAAGATCATCTCTACTAATCAATACAAATCCTTGGAATATAAAATTGGTTGGTGTTAATTTTATATATTAATTAATGTTAATTAAAAATAAATTAGGGTTTACACGACAGCCAACACCTATAAAATTTAAAAATAAAAAAATAACCCAGCAAAAACAAGGTGTAAACAACATTATTTTATCCAAACCCATAATTAATTATAGTTTAGGGAGACAAGATTTTGCCCCGTCTCTCCCATATCTTAATTATATCACCTCTAATCTCATTATTAATTGGCTAATTTCATAATTCCACCCAAAATTAATTACAAAATATTTTGAGTTTTTTTTTTTTTTTTAATATTTATATGATTGAACTCTATGAATTGTACATCACGCCTTGCCCCCCAAAAGTTCGGACATCCCCCAATGCGTTGCGTTTTGGTAATTAACGGCGATGCCCCAACTCCCTGAGACCTAAAGGCTAACACTTAAGGGACAAAACTGGGATTTCAAACAAATGACCGTTAAAACTAACAGAATGAAGAAAAAAAGAGGAAGATATTTAATTCTTTTAAAGAAGAAAAAGAAATAATAACAAGGTGGGGGGGAATGATAGGCTACTATTCTCGCACGGTATTCCTGATTCAGTGGCAGTCATTTAGAGTCGTCCGATTGAGGAGTGGACGTCGGAGAAGATGGCTCTGACGATGATGGGGTGATGGATTGAACCGAATCTGACGGTGATGGAGAGGAATCAGAAGATGGTGCTGGTGATAAAATGGACGGTGATGATGAGGCTTCATCACACGGTTCTCGTAGCTTCCTTTTGTTGTTCCCACTCCTTTCACTTCCAATCTTTTCGTCCCCCACCATATATTCCCGGAGCCGCTTCACATCTGATAATTTCACCGGCTTCACTATGAAATCCTCTGCCCCTTCCTCCAAACACCTGTCTATCCTCGCCACCACGTTTTCCGACGACATAATCACCACCGGAATCTCTCTCAGAGTTGAAGATTCCTTAATTTTCTTCAACAATTCGTAGCCTGTCATTCCGGGCATGCAGTAATCGGTGATAATCATATCAACCTTCAACCCCTGTTCATTCAAACCATGAAACAGATCAAAACCCATAAACCCATAAACCCATAAACCAAAATTTCAAAAAAAGACATGAAATTCAAAGTGTACTTACATCAAAACCAACTTGGGAATTAGGTTCATCTTGCAATCCGAGATATTGTAGAGCTCTAATTCCACTATCCACTGCAGTAACTGAGAATCCCAACAAAACCCAGATTGAATTTCCAGGAAAATTTAACAAAATCAATGAAATTGAATAGAAATTGAAGAGAAACACCGACCTCGGCAAGCGGTGAGGCGGAGGAGACGCTCAATTACTGTACGGTCGACGAGGCTGTCATCAACGGCGAGAACATGGACCTCGGAATCAGAGATGGGGAAGCGATCTAAAGCGTCGATTTGATCGGACCTTCGCCGGCGGGAGAAAACAGGGGTTCTAGCCATGGCAGTAGGAGAAAGAGAGAGAGAGAGAGAGAGAGGGAGAGAAGGGGTATTGTAATGGAAAGAGCAGGCAATTGAATTGTGTGGACAAGGTTAAGGAGAAGGGGCGTAATATAAAGTGGTATTAAATGAAAGGGTGAAACACAAAACCGTGTCAGTGTGTGTGTGTGTGTGTGTGTGTTAAGAGCTCTGTCTGTCTGTCTGTATCAGAAATCAAATCTCTGGGTCTGAGAGAAATCCCAAATCACGTCTTTTTTAATATTTTGTTTTTCACTTTCTTTATGATTTATTAATAATAATAAATAATAATAAACAAAACGTTTTTTTAAGATGAGATTCTCAAATCCACTTGGGTCAGATCTTCAAATAAACGCAAATCTTCCCGATATCTCGTCCTCGGCGCCTTTTTTTTTATCCTATCGCGTACGAGATTTTCATTGGCTGGCTGGGTTTTGTTGGTCAACATGTTGGACTACGTGCACCCGCCTTCGAATCAAGATTTGAAAACACAACATAAAAGGAGTCAACAGACTGTGTTTTAGTGAGTTTACCGAGGTCAACTAAGGACGACACGACGCCGTCAAACAGACAGCATCTGGTTTAAGCGGAGGAAGAATTACTGCGGTGGGATTTGGGAAACCGAGGGGGGTGGTGGGGGTAAAAAGTGAAAAAAAAAAGTAAAGGAGGGAGGGTAAATAAAGTAAAGAGGACAAAAGAGAGGGAATTTGGAGATATTGGGAGAGCCCCAAGGAAATCTAGTGTGGGACCCACGACATCTTATGTTGGTTAATGCTTGGACTTTTTCTTCTCTTCTCTTCTATTCTAATTTTTTGGGCCAAAATAAACAAAGGGAATTCAACTCCAACAGGAACACTTACTTGTCATCCGGTTTCTCGTACTCCCAGAGATAATCTAACATGTTTGCTTGCCACGTGGCAGGTTTTCAAGTATGCCACAACTAGTTATAATTTCCATGTAACCACTAAATTGAAGCATGTCAAGGGTCTTCTAGAGAGAAGTGTTGTGATGTGACCAAAGTGTACAATGCATCATTTGATATACTAAGAGGAATGGACAGGAAAGTGATATTGCTATCCGTGATGTTAGTGACGAGCTTAACAACTATGAGATGTGACCTTAATCCATGACATCAACCGTAGTTGAATTTGTATAAATGAAGGATTCGAGCATGCAACTTTGGTATGTCAAGGAGTACAATTGGATACTTGGGTCTCATGGTCTAAGTAAGCCACCCCATAATATATGCATGTGTCATGGGGAACAATGTTGGATGCTACAACTATGTCAAAATTAGGCCCCTTTCCACGAGTTGGAAGTTGTGCTTTAGCATCACACTTTGCCCTGATGTGTAGAAATGATTATGCACAAAAACAAAGCATCCATGTCTCGATAGTGTCCGACTGAATAGATGTTCGACAAGTCTCCAATTTGAAGTTAACCCATGAATCGATATTTTCAATATGCATGTTTGAACAAGTTGTGAATGCATATGACATATTGACGTTTATGGTGTCATCGCAAAGTATTAGTGGGACTCGGTAGAATTTTTGTAGGTATGAAATTAGGTCACTCGTAAGTATTATTATACCCCCAATAGACCCAGATAAGAATTTAACCCAATACGTAGGAGAAACATGAATCAACTCAATTCATATCTATATATTAAAGTTATGATGATTATTAAAATAAAAGTGGCAAAACTTTGTAACATATTTTATACAGGTATTAGAGAGATCCTGGATTAGAATTTTGAAGCTGAAAAACAGTATTTAAAATTTGTTCACTCTGGACACGACACGATGATTATAATAATTACAATTACAATTCCCCAAAAAAAAAAAAAAAAAAACATCGTGGGTTTAGTCAAAATGGAATCTTGATCTGATATTGAGATTTGTGGGCCCAGTTGGCCTCAGCAATAGCCACGTTTACTGCGCAATGGATTTATCCACTGTACTTCATTAATCATCAAATTAGGCCAATAATGCTCCTCATCTCATTATTTTCCTTTCTGTACGGTCGTTCTTCTAAACAAATATCTTCATCAATTTATTAATTAAATTAATGTAATCTTTTTAAACTTAGGATAAAGCGCAAATATAAATATATTCTTTGTTTTTAGAATAAGATTTTTTTTTTTTGATGGAGATGCTTTTCATCTTAACCGTCCATCCAAGTCAAGGCCTTTAAAGTGGTCCTTATTGCACGATAATAATAGACAGTGATACTACAACACCACCTCCGACAATTTTATGTTCTTTTTAGCTATTTACCAAACATTCACAATAATTCTCTTCCCACCCTTTGTTGTTTGTCCAAAAAAATCATTCTCGTTACCAAATGTGTATAATAACCCCATCCAAATCTATTATATACAATAACCCTAATAAACCCTCCCTCGATGTAAAATGCTACTCGATAGTATTTAAAATAAAATAAAATTAAAAAAATTAAAAAAATTATCGATTACGAATTTATAAAGAAAAATTAGATATTTTGTACTTTTTACTTACATGTCATGTCTATGTCATATTTGTTCAAGATTGTTGGGAGAAATCTTAAGTTGACTAATTAAGAGGATTATTATAAATTTATATTAAGGAATATATCTCTATTTGTACTAACTCAAACCCACTAGCAGATATTGTCCTCTTTGACTCGTTACGTATCGTGTCAGCTAGGGAGAGATTTTTCACACCCTCTATAAACAATTCATCCCTCTTGAGGGCCCAACGTACCCTTATAAGGAATGCGTTGTTCCTTTCTCCAACCGATATGAGATCTCATAATCCACCTCCGTCCCGTGTTGGCTAATTAAAGGTATAAGAGTTTTTTCATTTATTCATATATATATATATATATATAATAAACTTGTAATTTATTAAATAATTAAGTGATTAATTTTAATTGGGTGGACGGCTCCTCATACACATGGCAACCTATATAGCTTAAATTTTGATAATTGTTCTTGATATTTCACTTTCATTGCACTATTGAATTGGGTTATTGATTTATTATTTGTGGAGTCAATCTAATATTGGTTTTAAATAATGTTGATTTGGTGGGGATACGAATATTTTTATGTTTATCTATGCGAATCTTCTTTTTCTTCTCTATTATTTTTGTTTTTGTTTTTTTTTTTAATTCTTATTCTCAAATTAATTCCTGAAATGATTGCCATTTTATTTAAATCAAATTTATTTAATATTAATTTTATGAGAATTATGTGTAAAGATGATGATTGAGTCAAATCAAATTATTTGAGGAGAAAGGGAAAAAATGGTTAAGGACACCATTAATAATCCAATTCCAAGCTTTTTGAATTACCACAATTCCTCATGCCTAAAAAGCTATGCTAATTGCTCCATGCTTCCTCTCATCCCTTTTTTTTTTTTTTTTTTAATTAGTTTTCAAAAAGTAATAATTATTAATTATTTAGTTGTGGACTGTCCAAATAGGCCCATATTCCAATGACAAGCCCATACTCATGTTTGGGTCAAGAAGGAGAGGGTCTAACACTATTCCAACCAATGTTGCTTTGATATCATTTGTAATAGTCGAAGCTCATCATTAGCAAATATTGTCAGTTTTGACCTGTTACATATTGTTGTAATCTCAGTGGGGTGGGTCGAGAATTGTGGTAGAGTATTCATTGTCAATATATGGATTATGTTTTTTTTCAGTTCAAGACTTGGTCAACGAGTCTGCCGCTACCGTTGTCTACCGTTTCATTCGTTTGTGTATTGTATGAAGGTTGATTACTAGTTCAAAATTTACTTGATTTTAAATTTATGAATATAAATTGATATTTTTCGGAAATTAAAAAGTCTAGAAAAGATCTGCCGTGTCCGCCCCGGAGTTTATCTTGTCTACGCCACGCCACGACCAACCCCATCATCATTCGTATCCCTCGACGATGGTCAATTAGTCTCCAAATCCCTTTCCCAAACTCATTCCACATGGATTTTCACAATCAATTCCAGTCTTAATTGTTCTCAATCGCCCGATTATCCCTAGGGTTTTGATTCCCCCCTGTGTGTAACCTTAAATCCCCAATTTCGGTTCGAATTTGGTCCAAATTCCGGAATATACCAAACCCATGTCTTCTTTTCGACCAACAATATGGGGATTGGTTGTTTTCTCTTTAGCGTTAGGTTTCGCTGCGAATTTGGGTCGGGCTTTGACGTTGCCGTTTAGGGCCAACGATGTGCTTCCGGTTCTTCCACGACAGATATCGTGGCCGGTTCTTAATAATCTCCACACCGCTGTGGATTTGTTGCCGTCTTATGTTGGGTCAGTGACTCCCAGTAATGGAACCATTGAGTGGAAAGGAGCTTGTTTCTTCACTAACGAAGCTCGGATTGATTTTACTGAAGGCGATAGAGGCTTGGGAGGTGGCGTTCTCCGTCTCAAGGTTTGATCCTTTTGTTCTTTTACTTTCTTCCTTTATGCATTGACATGACGTTATTATAGACTTACTGCGAATCAGGGCAGAACTTCAAATAGTTGAATGCAATTTGCCTGTCTAATCTGCCTCTCAATCAATAAGCTTGAACTCTACGCCTAAGCCTTGGGCCCCTGAAAGTTAATTTCCAAGCAACTTGGATTAGTTTGTAAACCAAATATTGTTATGATTTCGATGTTTTGGCGACGTTTTTAGTTGCATTTTGATCGAATTCTACTTTCACAGTGGTAGGAATAAACATTCTTGAGCAAGTTTTTGACCGATCATCTGCCACTGATTCTAGACTTATAGATAATACCTGCAGGTGTTTGAATCTACGTTGTGACATATAATTATGTGTTGATTACTTTCTCCTACTTTTAGACATCTGCAGCACACAGCTGGACCTGTATGGATCTATATGTTTTTGCAACACCCTACAGGATTACTTGGGATTACTATTTCTCTGCACGGGAGCACACATTGAAGTTTGAATCATGGGAAGAACCTGCTGAGTTGGAATATGTATGTTCTTATGTTTTTGATTATCGACTGTTCTAAAATCTAGTTGCACATTGCTAATCATAATAGCCGACACTTGAGCAGGTTAAGCAACATGGGATTTCAGTTTTTCTTATGCCGTCTGGGATGTTAGGAACTCTACTCTCTTTGGTTGATGTGTTACCTCTGTTTTCCAACACCATATGGGGCCAAAATGCGAATTTAGCTTTCCTTAAGAAGCACATGGGTGCGACAT